GCTGACAAGTTTAAGACATGCCAGGTCCTGCCTGCTTTTGCTTGTATTTATGTGCCTTATTGGTTTCCCCTGGGAAATGTTTGGGAAACACAGAACTGTCTGGGAAAGTTATATAGATAGGAGAGAGAAAAGTCCCCTTCAGGCTGCCTCTGAATTTAAAAATAAATTAAAATTAAGGGAGAGAGAGCTAACTCAACAGGAGCACAGTGGATAATAATATAATCTTGCCAAACAGAGTTAAGTACTGGATATGCTAATTGCCCCCAAGATCACAGAGTACGGGTTGAGTAATGACATTAACAGGACGAAGTTCAGGTTCATACTCAGTCGGGTTCGTTAGATAAGATCGCGAGGCCTAGCCCCATGCAACAGAACCGTGCAAATTACAGGTGTTACGATATCTTCCTAGGTAAGTGTTAAAGGCTAACAAGCAAATTTGTAGAGGATTTTTTTTAAAAAAAAAGTGTGTGGGGGGGAGAGATCGGTTACATTTCGGAAGAAAACGACTAGGAATAGTTTGACGAAGAGGGAGAAAGTAAGGTAGGATAGCCAACTACTTAAAAACAAACGTGAAAGCTTCGTTATCGCCTCATGTGGGCAGATCATCACCCCCTGTATCAAAAAGAGTCTTCCACCCCGTTGAAGGTGTGTTAGACTCAAAGCCTAGCTAGGTATTTTGGCACACAAGGCAGAAAACGCCACAGGCGCTGCACTCATCCCTGGCATTAAAAATGTACTGTAATAATACATTTAATAACAGTAATACTAGCCCAAAAGAGCTACTGCCGTTTTAGGCCAATAAAATCTGCTTCTGCAAGCAGATGGAGAAAACGCGCTGTCCGACAAGAGATTTGTTCCTCTTCAAACATGAGCCGTTTTTCATTCCTTGGGTAACGTCAGGACGTGGGCAGGACCGTAGCCACTCTCTCTCCTGAGTCAGAGACGCTTGGATGTTGTCCTAATAGGGAAGCTCATGGGTTAGAAAGACAAGGTGTGGGGCAGAGACGTCATGGTAACATCTTGGGAAGAAAATGCAGAAGAGAAAGGGACTAGCCAGGTGGGCAGAAGCAGGTGGTTGGTGTAGACGTGTCCAGGTGAGGACTTTGTGTAGAGCTGTACACAATCACGTCACCTGGGACAGCTGGAGGATCAAGGGGCAAAGTATACAGCTCATTGATATGTTTGCCGGGCGTCCAGCAAACATATGGAACAAAGGAACGGTGATAGTGCTCGACATAATCAACAGAGCATTAAGGTTTGGCACGCCAAGCCTGCTTGCACCAAACAATCTAGAATTCTCTTCCACTAATGTTAAAGGTTCCCCTTGACATTAAGTCCAGTCGTGTCCAACTCTAGGGGGCGGTTCTCACCCCCATCTCCAAGCCATTGAGCCAGCGTTTGTCCATAGACAGTTTCCATGATCACGTAGCCAGTGCGACTAGACACGGAACGCCATGACCTTCCCACCAAGGTGTTACCTATTTATTTACTCAAATTTTTTACATGCTTTCGAACTGCTCAGTTGGCAGGAGCTGGGACAAGCAACTGGAGCTCCCTCCGTCATGTGGATTCGATCTTTCGACGGCTGGTCTTCTGACCTTGCAGCACAGAGGCTTCTGCGGTTTAATGAGTACATATCCATTCACTTGGCCAGTTCCACCAAATAAGCCTAATTTGTTGGATTTGGTTGGAGGGGACCCTTTTTAAGGGGAGCAGGAAAAAGAAGAAGCAGGGAAACCACCTCTTTCGGATAGACATCTTATTTGATGGGTGAGCCCTCTAAGGGTTGGGCTATACCAGAAGAATGGATGAATAAACCGACATAGTCCAGGCTTGGATAATTACAAAGATGTCAGCTTAGTTATTCTGGGAATAATAAGCAACAAAAAGCAACTGTTATTCTGGAAAGCCCACAATGAGGAGATGAACACAATCACACCCTGTTCCCCATGTGGGGAGAGAAAACACCAGCGATGTTGGCTTTCAATGCCTGAGTCAACATTTGAGCTAGAAAAACAGCTGTATTTGCATACAACTCGAACAGTTGGAAAGAATGGAAGGTGTGGAGGAAGGAAGGTAGATGACTTTTATAACATGGGCAAAGAAAGTTTTGTTAAAAAAAACATTAGCCCATGGAGGAAGGCCAAGGAAGGTTGGAATCATGGCAGCCTGGCGAAGAGGATGGCTTTTCTCAACTTCTCATAGGTAAAATTGGACAGGTTCCAAATATAGAAGGCAACCGGACTGGGAACACAGTCTTATTTCAAAATTAGCAATGCAACTGCCCTATGGAGTTGTGCTTCAAAGCACGTGGAGCCCACGGACGTGCAGATGTGCATGCGTGCTACCCTATGTTGGGAGTTTTTGCAACCTCGTATGCTGCCTTTAGTAGATTTGGCTGGGAGGGACTTTCTGGACTGGGGTGACTGTCAATCTAGCCCATTCTGGGCTGGGGTGACTGTCAATCTAGCCCGCATTAACCAATCATTCCTTCCCTGACTCTGAATTAAAAGAGCCACACCTCTCTGCTCTGTGGTTTCTCCCTAAGAGTCTGTTGAAGTTTATTGATAAAGGCAGTCATGTTTGTTAGTTTGCTATTTGATCTGTTCACAATTGTGAATTTTCTGGGCTGGGGTGACTGTCAATCTAGCCCGCATTAACCAATCATTCCTTCCCTGACTCTGAATTAAAAGAGCCACACCTCTCTGCTCTGTGGTTTCTCCCTAAGAGTCTGTTGAAGTTTATTGATAAAGGCAGTCATGTTTGTTAGTTTGCTATTTGATCTGTTCACAATTGTGAATTTAAAATGGTTGTCAGTTTGCTATTTGATCTGTTCACAACTGTGAGTTCAAAATGGTTTTTATTCTTTCTCTAATATCTCAGAGTGAGTTATCGAGACTGTAAGGGCTAACTTAATGAGAAAAAAAGGGGTGGACCACTCTGGGGAACTGGAAACTATTCTGCTCTGTGAATCCCTGCATTTCTGCTGCCCAACCGGAGGTATTTAACCAACATTCAAAAATCCACAACACCATTCCATTTCTCCCTTCCCCAAAGTAATTTTTCAAAATTGGGAAAAGTGTTAACTCTGCCCTCTGGATAACTTGCTCTACTCCTATTTGAGGGCAATTATCCAGGCCTGGGGACATGGTGGCACTGCGAGTTAAACCACAGAAGCCTCTGTGCTGCAAGGTCAGAAGACCAGCAGTCGTAAGATTGAATCCACGCGACGGAGTGAGCTCCCGTCGCTTGTCCTAGCTCCTGCCAACCTAGCAGTTTGAAAGCATGCAAATGCAAGTAGATAAATAGGTACCACCTCAGTGGGAGGGTCACGGCGCTTTGTGTCTAGTCGCGCTGGCCACATGATCACAGAAACTGTCTATGGACAAGACGCTGGCTCTACGGCTTGGAGACGGGGATGATCACCATGCCCTAAAGTCGGACACGACTGGACTAAATGTCAAGGGGAGCCTTTACCTTTAAGTGCCCAGGCCTGAGGCCACTGCTTCTGCATAAAAATACAGATTAGCAGATCTAGTTAAAGATGATCTCAACAGGTACAGGGTGGCGTTCCAAAAAATCTACTAAGGATGGCCTATTAGTGGTTGATCATTCTAATGAGGAAGCCCTGCCATCTAGTGGTTAAGAGCACGACATTTAAGAGGGAACCACCTGAATAGTTCTGTGCTTTCAAGTTGCTTCCAACTTTACAATGGCTTTTCCAGATGCGTGAGATATCTAAGGAGAGCTGAAATGTTTCACTCCTCCTCCAAATTGCTTCTTCAAGTCTGAGGAGAGTAGGTAGGAGATCCCTGATAGATCCTCCATGTTGGTTTCAGTTGAATTACTTGGATGAGTACCAACTTATCTCAACCTAACAAGTTCAGTTGCCGTGACTCAACTTCCAGATGACTGTGAATCTTCACATCTAAGGAGAGGTTTTACCAGCACATTCCCTCCACCACCAAGGCGGGATTTGAACCCAGGACCGTTGAGTCCTAGCCTGACTCTCCACCCAATGCACCATGCTGCCTTGTGACCCCATGGGTCAAGAGAACCATCAGAGTAAATACTTGCAACTTGCTGTAGAACAATGGTTCCCAATCTTAGGTCCACACTTGGGACTCCAACTCCCAGAAATCTCGGTCAGTACAGAAAGTGGTGAAGGCTTCTGGGAATTGCAGTCCTAGAACATCTGGACTACCCAAGGTTGGGAACGACTGCTATAGAGGACTGTCTCAGCCCCACACAGGGTGGTTTACAGCCTTATATAAGAAGGTCCCCTTTCTCCACACAGGCTGGAGCTGAGCCTTGACAACATCAGACACTTCTTACCTGCTGAGGAAAACATCCAAGAATTATCCCCGATGTTTTCCACCTTGCTTTGGCCCCAACTGTTGTGTCATGGGACTGTGTTTCCAGCACCCTTCCTCAAATCAGAATCTGACCCTTGGGACATACAGGGCATCCACCCAAGCTTACAATATTGACAAAGCTGAGGCAAAGCAAGTGAGGTTATGCCTCAGTGCCATGGTCTGTATCGTTCCGTCTCTCTCCCCTGAGGGCTCTGAAATGCACCCGTGGCTTCTGGGTCTGAGACTGAGCACCCTTGTCAAGGTCTAATGGATAAGCTTAAAGAAATGCACTTTAAATATTAACCAGGATGGGACTTCCAAGTGTTTTAGACTCCCAACTCGCTGAATTTTCTAAGAATTCCTCAAGCAGGATTTTGGGCCGTGTAGCCGAAAACAGAAGTCTACAGACCAGTTTGTATTTACTCCCCTTCTTGTCTGCTTTGGCTTCCCCCCCTTGTTAACACCAAAGACACTGCCTCAGCGCTACCTGGGAGCCTCAGGTCTTCCTGGGAGGCATAGTATTTTGGGAGGCGTCGTGATACTACATCTCTCCCTAAACGTTAATTCTGCCCTGATCAGAATCCCAATTCCAGGCAACTGAGGGAGCCTCCCACCTGCTTTTGAACACCAGCTGGCTTACCACAAATAAATTTTTATTTCATCAACAGCAAGAGGTTCTGCGGTGGTGGTGGGGGGGACAACCCACGCACCCACCCACCGAGTCCTGAGTTGCAGACATTCACAGCATCAGTGTCTTTATCTTTCTGGTCCACGAATGGAATGAAACGCCGTGGCCCAACAGAGGAATCTCGACAGGATAAGAAATGTCAGGCCAGTGCAAAAAAGGGTTAACAGGAAACAGGGTCAAAGAGCAAGCAAAATTAAAGGCAGAACTTGAAGCTTCTTCATTTAGGTACCAGAGGGCGCTTGGAAGGGGTGGGTTAGCCAGGGATTGAAATGTGCTATGACATCCAGCTCCTTCCTTCCACGGCGCCTTCCCTGCTTCTAACTTCCACAATACGTGAATCGGGACAGCCCTTGCTTCAGGACCATAAAGCAGTCCCAGGGCAGGGGGAATCCCTTTAGAACTCCGGTCCGAGGCGATCCTGCTGGGAAGCAGACGCAGGAAAAGCAGGTGCCGGCTAAGCAGATACATCTTGGACGCCACACTTCAGGTTAGCTGGCACAGCAAAATCTGCAAGGAGATGAGAGAGAATGGGCATTGTCACGGGACGGAGGACGGGCAGCCCTTACACGATCTAACCGGGAAGCTTCCTAACAATTGTGTGCCAGCCATTCCAACGTCCGGTGACACTTTTCAGCGTGATCCAGGTTGAGAATATTTAGAAACATTCCCTTCTTTTTTGGGGGGGGTGTGTGCCTTGGGACCATGCAGCTTGCCCAGGGTTACACAGGCTGCTTTTTTTTAAGATGCCCGGTGGAGATTCAAACTTCCAACTTCTAGCTCCACAGCCAGAAACTTAAAACTACTGAGCTATTCAGCCAGCCACGGGGAAGCTTAAAAGAAGGCAAATACATGATTCTGCTAGGGGTTGGCCTCTCTCCAAGGCTGAATCCACTACACAAACACCTGGGGTCTCAGACCTAGCAGTGGTTCCCAAGCTTGAGATCTCAGGTGTTCTTGGACTACAACTCTCAGAAGCCTTCACCCCAAGCTGTGTTGGCCAGGATTTCTCAGAGCTGTAGTCTATGGACATCTGGGGACTCAAGGTTGGGAACTCCTATTCCAAGGCAAGCAGGGTTTGGATCATAACTCCCCACCCCCATCCCCTGTGGTTTAAAAGTCCATCTGGAAAAGCCAACGTCTCGCCCGAGAGAGCCATGTTTTCCCCCCAAAATTAGGAACTTCCTAGCTGAACGTTCGATTCCCCGTCAAAACGACAACTCCCAGGATCCTCTGGAGAAAGCCCGGAGGGTTGAAGCCAAAAGATCCCAGCTTGGGGTGCAGAGAAGCAATCCGACGTCGCTCCTCTTCCTGGACCTAGAGAAGCAGAAGGCGAGCCTCACCGATCTGTTTGGGCTTGGGCAGATTCAGGTTGTCCATCAGTTCCACGAAGGCCTCCTTGGGCAACGTGAGGCGAGGATTCAGGGTCCGCTCTTCCTCCACGGTGGACACAGTTTGGCCTACAAGACAGGAGGGAGGGAGAAGATGCCGTAAAGCAGGTTCGGTATCCTCCAGTCCTTATGACTGAATCAGGGCTTCCCGAGTTCCCTAAATGGCTCCGTCTCTTCCTCTATAACACAACTGTTTGCTACTTTCTTTTTTATACAGGAGGTTTGAATACAAGATGGATTGACTCCCTAAACGAACCCACAGCCTTCAGTTTGCAGGAGGTGAGTAGGGCTGTTGAAGACAGGCCGTTCTGGAGATGGCTCGTTCATGGGGTCAACGTAAGTCAGATGCAACAACAGCACACAACTACAACACACACACAGGTAGCATGCCTCTCGCTGTAGAAACATTGTGTTACTAATATGCCTATATGACCCCCAGAGGAATCAACGGAAGCATTAAACTGAGGTAATTAAGCCATTAAAATAGTTAATGTCTAATCAGCCCTAATCTCAATGGGTGTTCAGCTGGGCAGTTCTTTCCTGCTTAACGTGGTGCTAAACCAGTAGTTCCCAAGCTTGAGTAACCCAGGTTTTCTTGAACCGCAACTCCCAGAAACCCTGGCCAAAGACTGTAGGCAGCAAGAGAAGAGGAAGACCAAATACGAGATGCACTGACTGCCTAAAGGAAGCCACAAGCTGGCGTTTACAAGGGCTGAGCTGGGTTGTTGAGGACAGGACATTCAAACGGTTGCTGTAAATCAGGGAGAATGTGACAGCAGACCACAACAACAACATTATGTGCATATTGATAAAGAAGAGAAGGGTGGAAAAGCAAAACATTGTAGTGGCTTAACAGCTTTATTTTGATGTGAGCTTTTGTGGGTGAAAATTCATTCCTTAAAAATAGGTTCATGCAATTTCATCTAACAGTGGTGGAGCTGGAACGTCTGGCTGTTCTGGACTACATCTCCCAGAATGCTATGGGCAGCATGGCCCCTGTCCATGGAGCATGGGATCTTCTAGGAACTGCGCTTCGAAAAAAAGCAACTCTTCCCATCTCTGACCAGCTGTACCATAGTAGCTCCTAGCAGAGGGCTGGGATGCTCAAGACCTGTCAGAGATTCGGGGTTACTTTTCCCATGATCCGTCACGCTTGGGTAGTTGACCAAGGCGGATGGGAACTGGAATCTCATTTCTGCAGGGGTAAATCTTCCCCAGCTCTGCTGGGGTCTCGTGCTGCTGTGAACCACTCACCAGTATAGTCATGGGCAGGGTAAACCAGGCAGTGACCAGGGAGTGTGAAGATCTTCTCATGGACCGACTGATAAAGCGTCTCAGGGGAACCTAGGAGGAGAGACGAAGCCGCATGAGCTAAGCACCACCAAGGTCCGTTCTCTCACCCGCTGTTCGATTTACAAAGTAGATTTCTAGGACGGTAAATGCTCCAACATCTCCCCACCTCCGATGTTCAGCAAACACACAAAAGGCAGAACTGTGTTTGTTGCCCCTACCGATGTCCAGTCTTGCCGGCTAGATGATTCTGGGCCCTGAGGTTCAGGACAATCATCTGACCAAGCTCTGATCCTCTGGCTGCGCAACTCACACACATGGACTTGGCAGGAATAGTGTTGTATCTATGCAATGTTCCTTCAAACCACAGGAACACTGGGCCAAGCTGAACTTCTGTACGCACGTATGCAATGTTCCTTCAAACCACAGGAACAATGTTCCTTCAAACCACAGCTGAATTTCTGCATGCACAGAAGAAATGCATGGACTAGAGCAGGGCTTCCCAACCTTGGGCCCCCAGAGGTTCCCGGACTGCAACTCCCAGAAACCCTGGCCAGCACAGCTAGGAGTGGAGGCTTTTGGGTGTTTTAGTCCAAGGACCTCTGGGGACCCGAGGCTGGGAACCACTCCATTAGAGAACCATGGGGAATCTTGGGAGATGTAGTCCAGGAACACAAAGAAGCATATCTCTAGCTTGGGAGATGTAGTCCAGGAACACAAAGATGCATATCTCTAGTTAGTACAGTGGTGCCCCGCATAGCGACGTTAATCCGTTCCAGGATTAACGTCGCTATCCAGATTCATCGCTATGCGGGGTAGAGGAACCCATAGGAACACATTAAACTCCGTTTAATGTGTTCCTATTGGGGAAAAACTCACCGGTAAGCGAAGATTCCCCCATCCAGCCGCCATTTTCGCTGCCCTGTAAGTGAGGGCAGGGAGCGAAAACGCTGTGGGCGGCCATTTTCTGCACCTGGCGGCCATTTTGGAACCGCCGATCAGCTGTTTTCTAAACATAGCAATGCTAAGTTCGGTAAGCGAAACGCGATCATCGCATAATGTGTTCCTATTGGGGAAAAACTCACCGGTAAGCGAAGATTCCCCCATCCAGCCGCCATTTTCGCTGCCCTGTAAGTGAGGGCAGGGAGCGAAAACGCTGTGGGCGGCCATTTTCTGCACCTGGCGGCCATTTTGGAACCGCCGATCAGCTGTTTTCTAAACATAGTAATGCAAAGATTGGTAAGTGAAACACTTACCAATCATCGCAATGCGATGTTTAGCCTATCTAAACATCGCAATGCGACTGCATTAGCGATCATAAAAAATGCGTCGTTATGCGGATTCGTCATTAAACGGTGCGCTCATTAAGCGAGGCACCACTGTACATATTTCATGCTAACATGAAATATGTCGATAGAAGCATCATTGTCCCCAGTCATGTCAGAGCACAAAGTCAGGCAGGATCTACCAAGCAGGTAAGCTTTGAAGATGGCCTCCAGGTGCAGACTGTACACCTGCCATCCAAGAACCACCTGCTTAGCTAAGTCCAGAGCCGTTCACCCACCCAGAGGCTGGCCACCAGGTGAAGGCTGTGAACATAATGCCATCCAAGAACCACCTGCTTAGCTAAGCCCAGAGCCGTTCACCCACCCACAGGTGAAGGCTGTGAACATAGGGTGGTGGAATGAAGGAAGCATGATCGGCATCGGTGGGGGAGAACGAAACACTACAGGTGAGTCCCCTCTTCCAGAGGGACCCGTTCCCTTCCATCACCGAAGCTCCAAGGCCTCCCTACCTTGCTGGAAATCTGTCCTTCCGCAGCCCCGTATCAGCAACGCATCCCCCGTAAAGGCCATGCTTTGGTCATTCAGCACGTAGGTCAGGCAGCCGTCCGTGTGCCCAGGGGTGGCGCGAGCTTCCAGGGCCTGCAGGAGAGCAAGACAGGCCGTCGGAGGTGAAGCTTGACAGCTTTCCTCTTATTTTGCATCAACCTGACTACAAAGCCCATTCAAAAGTAAGCTTCGGCACTGTGTGCCAAGATGTGCCGCCAAGTCAGAACCGACACAGAGCAACCCAAAGAGGGCTTTCAAGGTAAGAGAGATACTTAAGGGGCAGCTTGGCCTGGTCTTCTCTCCGAGCGAGTTTCCATGGCCAAGGGGGGATTCGAACCCTGGTTTCCAGAGTCCTCGTCCATCAGCCACGACACCGCTGGATTCCAAAAGATCTCCTGTAGGGAGAATTAGTGCAGGGAAAGTGCCCCAGAAGGAGATGACAACTGTGATACAAGGAGATCTGCAAGCGGGATCTGAAGGCCTTAGGAATGGATCTCAACAGATGGGAAACCTTGACATCTGAGCGTTCAGCCTGGAGGCAGGCGGTGCATTATGGCCTCTCCCAATTTGAAGAGACCCTTGTCCAGCAGGCCAAGGGGCAAAGAGGCAGTCCTGAAACCAGCAAAATCAGTGAGCTGGACAGGGGACAGATTGTATTTGTCTTCAGTGTGGAAGGGATGGTCACTCTCGAATTGGCCTTCTTAGTCACACTAGACGCTGTTCGAAGACCTCTATTCAGAGCACATTGCCATAGTCTCTCGAGACTGAAGGATGCCTAACAGGATAATCAGTAGCTTTGCTTACATAGAACCTTTGGCCCTCCAGATGTTTCAAATTCCAGCTGCTCAAATATCATCCTATTGCCCTGACTGGCTGAGATCTGAAGTCCAGAATTCATTGTTATTTTCCAAGCCCTAATATAGGTCACCCATAGGAAAACAGAAGGGTGGAGTGAGATAAAATTGCAGGGAAAGCCTGGAAGTAACTAGTTACTAGTGCTATAATTATCAATAAGAAATAATGGGAAAGTAGCTATGCTGTTACAGTAAAATAATCTAACAAGCAATTACACACTTAATGGTTGTTGTGGGTTTTTCAGGCTCTACTCCCAATGGGTGTTAATTACACAATTACTTTCTATGTGCAGTAAGTAACATTTCTCTAGTTACTTTCCATGTGCACTAATTAACACTTCCCAGTTACTTTCAGAAGTTACTTTAAAAAGGTATTTTAAAAGTTACTTTAAGGCATTTTTGGCAAGAATTTTTCACATTTTATACCTTTCTCTTACCAGTTTTAAATAACAAGTGAAACATTATTTGGTGTTGTCTTTTTGGTAAACAGTTGTAAAATATATTCGCAAAGGCTTTCACGGCCGGGATCTAATGGTTGTTGTGGGTTTTTCGGGCTCTTTGGCCCAAAAAACCCACAACAACCAGTTGTAAAATACAGTATCAGAATTGGCCACTAGGGGGAACCAGACAGCATTTCCCTATGGCTGTTTGGACAGCACAACGAGTTAGGGATTTTGCTGTGAACAGAGAGGTTGGGAGTTCAATTCCCCACTGTGCATCCCAGAATAACCAGCCTGGGTAGCCTTGGGCAAAGCTGTACAGTCCCAGGGATGCTCACAAAAGAAAAGAATGGTATACTCCCAACCTCTGGCTCTACGTCTCAGTACTTAAGTCACTGAACTATTAAGCCGTTCTCTGTCCCGAAAACCCTGATAATAGACTTGATGACACATAATTAAAATTATAGGTAACAACAAGATAACATGCAATAAATTCCTGTCAGGTATGAAGAATGCCAATAACAACAGCCTAGCTTTCAAGATGCTGTGGTCACGCTTTCTTCTACCAGGTCCCAGAGTGTCCTTATAAAAGCATGATTTATTTATTTATTTATATCATATCAAAGTTATGAACTTACAAAAGCTCCAAATTTGAGGGCACTGCCTTCCTGGATATGGATATCAGCAGACGCACCACTGTCTTTGGAAATGACACTCCGACAGCCTGGGAGCAGATTCTTCAGAAGCCCCGTGCCAGTGATGTGATCAGCATGACAGTGAGTGTTGGCTAAGAATGGGGGAGAATAACAATTATTGACACTGCAGCATGCAAGCTGCAAACCTCCTCTGACTTATTGCAGAAGGACCTCCCCAACTCACTAAATGAAGGCTACTTTAATGAGTTCTCACCCTTTGCTAAAGATCTGTTCGCTTCCCAGGGCCTTTTGCTTTTAACAGGATGCCGACAGCTTTTCAGTTTCACCAAGCAACACACACACAAACATAAAAACCCATAATGATTCTTAAGGTCCTCATTTTCTTTTCTCCGGGGCCGTGAAGTTTCCTCTGCCTTCCAAATAAAGTGAAATCCATATCCTTTTATGCTTCCCAAAAGGTACACAGAATGCAGCCCACTAGGTTTTGTGGGTCTACGATGCCCATCAGCCTAGCCCAGGAGAACTGAAGGGCAAAGAACGCCAGGAACTGCATTCCAACAGCATTTGGACGGCTGCATTTGGCTCATGCAAGGGGACCGTTTTCTATTTAGTCTCCATTCCAATTCAGATCGTCTTTCCCACCGAAGGAGGCGACCTTGAACTGCTCTCGCAGCAATCCGGCAAGAGCAGTTCAAGGCGCAAGATGAAACCAAAGAGCCACTGGCCAAACCACATCCCAATAATCAAGGTCAGGCATCTTTGGCCTCCCCAATGTGTTGGCAGATAGCTTTCAGAATTCCCTGCAATTTGCCAATTGAGTTAAGATGATGTGCGGAAAAAAAACATCTCAAGGTCCCAAAATTTCCCCCCACGGCGGACCTCAATCCAGCCCAAATTCACCTGCGTAGAGCACATTGAGACCCAGCTGTTTCACCAGCGTTGAATCTCTCTTGGCTGTTTCCAGAACTGGATCGATCAGGATGGCTTCCTTGGTTTTCATATCTGCCAGCAGGTAGGTGTACGTGAAACTTTCTGATTCAAAGAGCTATAGGGGAAGAAAAGACTTAGGGTTAGTGCATGGAGAGCGTGGATAAGGAGATCTGTTTATTCTTACAAGTCGGATTTTGCTGTTCGGCCCTGAAAATATTTTAACCATCCGTCTTTGTCAAACAAGCATATAGGCAATTAACAGATACAAGTTCTTAATGTAATGATATTTGTAAGTACAGATAATATGGGATAAGAAATGATAATCACTGTTATCCTGATTCATTTCCCCTTACCCTGGAAATAATAAAATTAAAAAAAACTTAATGAATTATGGGCCATTACAGTGACTTCAACTTATGAAAGTTTTTTTCCAGTTTTTTTCCCTTTAAAAAAATGTACAGAGTAGTCAGAAATGGTTTATTATTCCCGGCACGAACTGATTCTATGGGATAAGAAATGATAATCACTGTTATCCTGATTCATTTCCCCTTACCCTGGAAATAATAAAATTAAAAAAAACTTAATGAATTATGGGCCATTACAGTGACTTCAACTTATGAAAGTTTTTTTCCAGTTTTTTTCCCTTTAAAAAAATGTACAGAGTAGTCAGAAATGGTTTATTATTCCCGGCACGAACTGATTCGTTTTTCGGGGAGGGGTTTGTGATAGTTTGTGGTTTGTGAGTTTGTGCCCATCTCAAACTGTCAACGTTTTTGAAAACATGCATCTATTTAGTTGTTACTATCCCTGTGGTCACCATCAATGATATAGATTTAATTCTGTTTTCTGGTTTGATAAGTCTTCAAACCTTATGACACCAAGAGATTTTTCTTCCTGCAATTTCCTTGCTCCCATCCCGAGCTTCTAAAAGTTATTTTTTTTAAAAAGCTGCAACTGCTGGAAGCTTCCTCCAAGGGTTCTGGCGCTGGGATTGTGGGAGATGACAATTAAAAAAAAATAACTTCTACAATCTCAGCTCCCTATCAGTATCAGTACCAACATCCACAAATCCCAGATAAGTTTATAGTCCTTATTGTGCAATATGACATACTAAATAGGAGCAGAATGGTCAGTGGGCTGAGAACATGCAGTTAATCATCACACCTATTCCATTTCCAAGAATCCAGCAGATAATCTTGATATCTGTCTGAATGAGTCCTCCGTTCAGAGCAAGTCTGCTGATATTCAAGAAGAAACTCTAACCTTACAGGGGTGAGAGATTAATGTTTAGAACAAGGACCAGAGGTCAACAAAGGATTTATCGCAGATACATGCACCTTGTTAGCAAAAGCACAGAAATCAAAGCAGCCAGCAAGGTCAACCAACCAACCCTAGAAGAAGCTAAAGATTTATCGGCTGAAATCCTGCAGGTGTAGCCACAGAACTTGCTGGCCGACCTTGGACGCCTCAAGCTCTCTCAGCTTGGCCTACCTTCAAGCCTTACTGCGAAGATAACACAGGAGGGAGAGACGTGTACAGAGCAGAAAGACAAGCAGGATATTAAAGTTAAATAAATAAACAGGCAGACAGGCTCCATTGTGTGGGATCACCTGCTCTGATTCTGACGGAAAACAGTCCTGGATGTAGATTCCGGCACACAGGGAAGTTTTTCGTCATCTGAAATACGTCTGCTGGTTTTCATCAAAGGTCTAGTGAAGCAGCATACAATACAATGGTGCCTCACATAGCGACGTTAATCGGTGCAGCAAAAATCGCTGCAAAGCCATTTTGTCGCTATGAGATTTTAAAAAGCCCATAGGAATGCATTGAAACCCCTATGGGCTTAAAACTGACCCTTAAGCAAAGATCCTCCATACAGCGGCCATTTTCGCTGCCCGGTAAGCGAGGAATCGTCCCTAAACACAGAGGGTGGCCATTTTGTTTACCCGGCGACCATTTTGAAACCGCCGATCAGCTGTTAAAAAATCATCGCTTTGTGATAATCGGCAAGCGAAACAGAGTACCGATCATCGCAAAGCAATTTTTCCCCATTTAAAACATTGCAATGCGATCACAAAAGCGATTGCGAAAAGTTTGTCGGTATGCAATTTCGTCGTTAAACGGGGCGCCCGTTAAGCGAGGCACCACTGTAAAATACAGCATCACAGTAAAGCTGATGTGACAGAGATCTCTTACTTAATGGACTAAAGGTGTGAATGACTTTAAGGATTTTAAAAGCCTCAAAAATCAACATTTTTAATGCAGCCCAGGAAACAAAGGGAAAAAGTGACTTTGGAGGAGAAGGAATCAGGAGAGCCATTATCCCATGTTTTATTTATTTATTTATTTATTTATTTGTTTGTTTGTTTGTTTGTCATTGTAAGTATATACACAGTATACCCACACAATGAAATTCACAGACACCCAGAGACCAGACACATGCACACACATAAAGTTCCCCAAACACTCCCCACCCACTTACCGTTTTTAGCTTTAAATATTGTCATTTAACATATAAATGACAAGACAAGATGGCAAGACAATATAATGCCAAGGTAAAATGAACTGCTGAATAGCTCAGTGGTTTAGGTCTCTGGCTGCAGAGCCAGAGGCTGGGAGTTCGAATCCCCACTGTGCCTCTTTGACAGGGGGCTGGACTGGATGATCTCTGGGGGTCCCTTCCAGTTCTGCAGTTCTAAGATTATTATTATAGATTATTTGTCCTTTAATGATGTAAGCCACCTTTGTAAACACATTGCTTTTAGATTTTAACATTGTCTTTCAATGATGTAAGCTGCCTTGGGTGATTTTAAGGAGAAAAGTGGGGTAGAAATGCTGTCAAAAATAACTTCAGGAATCCAGTTCACACAACCCTTTCTTAACTTCCTGGATCTAACATACAGTATATTCTTACTCACATCTTCAAGGCTTACACAACATCCCTTATCTCTGCTTTTATCGTCTATGAACTTTGCTCTTTCAACTTTCGCGGCCCCCCTGCCCCCTCAGATGACTCTGCCCCCCCCGGGCATGTATGCCTGCCAAAGGCTCCCACAAAAATAAAATAACAGGCAAATAACTAGCGATCTGCTGCTACTCTGCCAAAAACAGATGCCCGAGAGAGCTGACTCATTCTGCATCAGACCTGATGACCAAACAAAGTTTATGCCCAGAAATCTCCACCCGAAGTCACACCCTGATAAATTTGGAAATGTTTTCATTGCGACAGCCTCCAAAGCTAGCCCAGCAACAAGCCAACTCCAAACACAGGGACTGCTCACTAGCCCTATATTGGCAATTAAGGATCAGGTCTTTTGTATAGTTATTGGCTCTTGATTGCCCTTTCAAGACCAAATCATCCTCCAGTACTTTATATTACAATAGAGCTAGCCAATAACCATATTATAATCCTTTAAAAAATCTGTTTCTCTCCCAGCTATTGCAAAGATCACAGCTAAGCTCAGAGGGGCTCCGAGCGGCTGATGATCTTACAGGACCTGCTATTGATAAAATCCGAAGGTTTTTACCTTGCAAGCCAGGAGGCCAAAAAAGCAAGACAACAATAAGGGAAAACATGCATGCTCCTTAAGGGGTCATTCAGAGAGAATCATGCATGGAAAGCACCCCATAAATGCAATTATCTTGATTATGCATAGAATCAGGCCACTATCAGGAAATTTTAGGTAGCCAAGTAGTAAAATCCACACACCCTAAATTCTGGCTCCACCCCACACTAATATGCCAGATCTTCACATTAAAGTACCATCATATCCATACTGGACAGGGAAGCCGTGTATATGTATGAAATTAAAAAACACATACGTAACATGTTTTTATCCGTATTGCACACCAGGATTATTAGTTTTGGGGACATATTCTAGTACAGTTTCTATGCCTTTCGCTGACCACTTGGAATTCTTCTGATTTCTTTATTTTGATTTCTGTATAACCACTATGTTCTATATTCTTGAAAGTGTTATTGTTTTATTGTGTTGTAAACCGCCCAGAGTGGCCTTGTAGCCAGATGGGCCGCGAAGAAGAAGTCGAATCAATCAATCGAAGAAAAATCAGCCAAGGGAGCTCTCTTTCCCCCCCCAAAAAAGAAAATGACAAAAGCATCACCTGCAGAACTGCTGCCTGCAGCATCCAAAGACTTCATTGCCACACATTGAAACTAAAAGAACCAACCACCCCATGCAGCCTTGAGCTTAATACTGTAAACGCTTCCCCACCACCAGCGAGGATTGGATAAAAAGCCCCCTGCACCTGTTGAATTTCTGCCTGCAGGGCAACTGCTTTAACCCAGAAAGGAAAATGTTTCCATCGAAGAAGGTAAAGAAAGGCATCAAGGGTACAATTTAGGGCGACGCTGCCTTCCAAGATCGCCCCCACCCCCAAATTCCCACCTAAGGGGCACGGGAAGTGTGGGGGGGCTGATCGGGACCCCCCCCGGCCACCTCGGCTCACCTGGCGGAAAAGGAGCCCCTGGCGCTGGGCGGCGCGGACGCAGAAGCCCCTCCGCCCAGGAAGGCTCGCCAGGTGCGGGAGGGCGGCGGCGGCGGCGGCCGCTCGGGCAGGGCATCTCCGGGGCAGCCACATCGGGATCGCGCCTCCTGGATCGCTCGCTTTCCAGGAAGGGACCGGAGGAGGCGAGCCCTTTCCGGGCTGTCAGCTGGAGGCGGGCCTGGGGAGGAGGGCAGCGGAGGGAGGCGGGTTCGAGAGACGAGCCGCCTTAAAGGGGAAAAAGCGCTTGGAGCAGGGGGGAGGCGAGAGGGGCTCGGGTCTGCTACGACAGCTCGAGAAATATACATTGTGGGTGACAGCTCCCAGAACCCCACACAGCCAGCGAGAATTTTGGGGGAAAATGTTTTGGGAGAAGAAGCAGGAAGGAAGTAGAAAAAGAGCTCCAGTCTGTCCCTAGAGCTAGAGAAGGCATCCCTTTTGGGTTGCTGCTCCCAGTATCTTCCAGGCAACGGGGGGAATCCAGGGATTGTAATCCAAAACGATTAAGTTTGATTTAAAGGGGGGGGGAGGAAATCGGGGAGGGGTTCCAATCTTATCACAACGTGTGGGGAATCTCTTTGCTTGGGTTAGAGCTCCCACGTAAATATTATTTATTTAAACTGGGACTCCCGGAATCCCAACCTCAGCCAGCAGTGTGGGAGCTCTAACCCAAGCAAAGAGATTCCCCACACGTTGTGGTAAGATATACAGTGGTGCCTCGCTAGACGATGAAAATCTGTTCCACTGAAATCGCTGTTTAGCGAAATCATTGTCGAAGCATCTCTCCATTGGAATGCATTGAAACCTGTTTAATGTGTTCCAATGGGGAAGAATCGTCGTGGTCTAGCGAAGATCGGCCATAGGAAAGTCACTTTGTGAACCGCTGATCAGCTGTTTAAATCGCCGTCTTGCGAAGCTTAGGTCTCGAAAACACCCGTTTTGCGAGCGCGGAGGGAGCTGTCAAAATCGTAGTCTAGTGAAAATTGGTTTGTGAAGCAGGGACCAAACATTGTCCAGCGAAATTCCCCCATAGGAATCACTGTTTTGCGAATCGCTATAGCGATCGCAAAAAGTCAATGTCTAGCGAAAAAACTGTCATGCGGAGTTAAGAGTTTTTTCTGATATTCAGCTTAAATCTGGCTGCCTGTAATTTAAGCTCATTATTATGTGTCCTGCAATCTGGGATGATCAGGAACAGATCCTGCAAACCCACCCCCTCGCCCCCTATGGCTACTTTTCAAGCATTTGAAAAGTGCTATCAGATCTCCCTTACTCCTCTTTTCTAAATCACTTTTTCTAATCATTTTAGGGAATAATTGAGTTTCTAATCATTTTAGGGAATAACTGAATAATTATTTAGGGAATAATTGACCTCCATGGGTTAGGGCCCTTGTAAGCAATCCCTTGAAAACTTGTGAAGTGTTCCTGTAAATGAGAAACTTCTAAGGATCCTAAGGGAGAAAACAGGTCGACAACTTTCTGCAGATTATCTGTGTGTAAAGGGCAAGCCCATGTTTCTCTTTTAGAAGGCAGAAACGATGTGTACTTAAGCTCGGTGGGTGTTATTGCAGTTTGTGCGTTGTCCAGAGATACTGTACTGTGGGAGGAGCACCAGAGAGCTGGGCTGCATATTATGTGCAAAATAAAGCTTTGTGCCATTTTTATTGCAACCATATACAGTTCATAACGTTTATGTACTCTGTAGTGTGATAGGGAAGGGCAGCTACAGATCCGTTGCCCCATCCTAAGGTTTAACCTTATTGTCATTGTTGATAACAGTATGTTTACACAACCGTTGAGCTGTCTGTGTTAAAGAAAAATTTACCACCTCTGTAGACTAAGTCTTTTCCAAGGCAGTTCGTAGAATAAAAAGTTAAAGTACAGTTAATAGAAATAATGTTGAAAAGAATCACAGCAGCATGACAGGAAAAGTAGCATTTTTATTTTAAAACAATAACAATAAATTGATTTAAAGTAGTCTAGAATAGCCAGATCTGTCTGAAGAGTAACATTTGAGCTTTTCTTGTATTATGTGTGCATAGTTTTGTTAGTGTATTTCTACATAACAAAAAAGAAGGAGAAAATCTTATGGGGCCTTTCAAATTTTACAAATTTACTTTAGCATGCATTTTCATCAGTGCCAATCTGAGCTTTCCAGATGCAGGCGAAGTGCACTGGGATCAGGAAACGACATGTTTAATTGGATTTACAGGTCTTAAAGATAGCCCAAGAGTCTCGTATCAGTTTTGTAATGTTTGATGCTGTTGTCAATCATGACAGCAACATTCTCCTTTTTAAAAGAAATTCAACAGGTGAAGCTTTTCCCCCACATTGTCTCTATTCCAACCAGGTAGCTATGAAACATAAGCAGCACACTCAGAACTGGGGAATTTTACTCTCGGCGAAGAGACTACAACTCCCAGAATCCCCTAGGCTGCACAACCACTGGCCAGCTTGGCTGGGTGGCAGAGCACACACACACAAAAACGATTCCCAGCTGAGCACTCTTAATAACCACAAGACCCAGCTACAGTACCTAGGTGTGATTTTGAGACGGATTGTTACACATTATTGCTTTGATTAGTTTTTTTAGGACCAGTCGTGTTTTCCATTTTTGTGCTTTCCACTTCTCAGAGTGGCTTTTTTATTTTTTAAAAAAGTATAGTTATTGATCTTTGCCTTAAAATTGCCTATTAGTGATGTAAGATGCCTCCCTATTTGTTGTTCATAGTTTTAAATATTAAATTAAATGTCCCAGAAGGCTTTTAATTGAAATAATATCAGCTGTGGGTCTGATGGCAATTTTTAGAGGTAAGCAGCCCCGAGTAGACATTGTCTAGAGGGGTGGGGTAAAAAATAAATAAATAAATAAATAAAATAATTGTCTTTTAATGTTAACCACCATTAAATACTCATTGTTTTCAACTTTAAATACTGTCTTTCATTGTGATAAACCGCCTTGGGTCCTTTTTAATGAGAAAGGCGGGATAAAAAATGTTTCAAATAAATAAATATGACCCCATCTAACACTCCAAAGCTCAAAAAAGCGGCTCATTGACAAATAAGGCGCACCCTTTTTGTCCTCTGCCAGCCACGGTTGTGACGTCATTCCCTTGCCCTCCCCTGGCGGGCGAAACCATTCGGAGAAGACAAAGGGGGGGAGGAAACGAGTCCCTGCAAATGGATCCGCCCAAGCTCAGACTTTCTACCCCAGGACTTGCTCAATTGATTCTGCTGCAGGTAGAGATCTGTTTGGGTTTGGTCGTTGCTTTTGCTCGTTCCTCGGCGTTTTTTTCCTTCTCTTTTTGCATCCTTTGGTGGCGGTTGGGTTGCCTTTGGATGCATTTAAATCAAGCACAAAAGCCGCCCCCCCCACCGCCTCCGCCTCCGAAACCTGTAGAGTTTCTCTTATGGGGGAGGGAGAGAGGGAGTTGTTGATCTGGTCGGTTTCAGACGATCGTGCATGCCAAGATTGCAACTTTGCAAAATTGCAAAAAGCAAAGCAAAAAGCCGAAGTTGGGGGGAGGAAGGGAGAGAACCCACACACCTTAAGAAGTGTGTGTATGCACCATGGTTATGGCTATGGGCAAAAAAGTAACTAAAAAGCAACATTCTTTAAACAAACAAACCAACCCCAAAGCAATCCTGCACACACATACCAGAGAATTAGTCCCGTTAAATTCTGTGGGAATTGAGTAGACATTTGGAGGCTTGGACGTTTGGCTTTTAAAAAATCTGCCCCCAAATCTGAAATGACACCTTTCTTGATTTAATACAAGGATGGACAAGCGGGACCCTCTATTATATGGTTTTTCAGATGCTGCTCCTGTCCTGTCAGCCATAGTTAGTGCAGCCAATGGAAGGGTTGATGGATGCTGGAATCCAGAAAGGGGGGGGGGAATTCTGGAGAGGCAGAGATGGCCATCCCAGAAGCAGCCCAGTTGAAGCTCAATGGGGCTGGGTTGATTGAACAGCTTGTGTGACAAATGGCCTAAGGACCCCTTTTGCCCCACCTTGAATCCTGTAGGGGAAAGTGAGATATTGAAATGTAAATAATACTGTCTTTCTTTTAACTGTACAGTGGTGCCTCGCTAGACGATGATAATCCATTCCACTGAAATCGCTGTTTAGTGAAATCATTGTCTAGCGAAAAGCATTTCCCTATTGGAATGCATTGAAACCTGTTTAATGCGTTCCAGTGGGGAAGAATCATTGTTGTCTAGCGAAGATCGGCCATAGGAAAGCTGCTTTGCGAACCACCGATCAGCTCTTTAAATAGCTGTCTTGCGAAGCTTAGATCCCGAAAACATCCGTTTTGCGAGTGCGGAGGGAGCTGTCAAAATCGTCTAGCGAAAATTGGTTTGTGAAGCAGGGACCAAACATTGTCCTGTGAAATTCCCGCATAGGAATCACTGTTTTGAGAATCGCTATAGCGATTGCAAAAAGTAATTGTCTAGCGAAAAAATTGTCATGCAGGGTAACTGTCTAGCGAGGCGCCACTGTAGTCCCCTTGCTTTGCCATTTGTTCCCGGGGCCTGTCTCACTGGGATAGAAAACATTTTTCTCCTGCAAGTGCTTCCTAGGTCCCAGTAGTAAGACGGCTCAAAGCCAGAAATGTGTTGGGAGCCACCCCTTTTTACTTCTCTTCCTGCCTTGTCCTCATTCAGCGATTTCGAACACAAAAATTCCTCCTTTGAGCAGGGGGTTGGACTTGATGGCCTTAGAGGCCCCTTCTAACTCAATTATTCTATGATTCTATGAAAACAGCTGCGCCCCTTCTAACTCAATTATTCTATGAAAACAGCTGGTACAGCTATTCCATTTTTTGTGACTTTTTCCCTGTTAAGAAAAGTTTTTGCATGGTAAGGCATGGTAAGAAAGGAGGACAGGGTGAGGAACCAAAGAGTTACAAAATGAGAGCAGAATTAATTCTAGGAATGGACAGGAGAACTATATGATAAAAGCTTCATTTGGAAGTATGCATGGACTCTCTTTTCTTCTCCCCCCGCCTCCCCCAGCCAAGGGGCAGCCGTAGAACACCATCTTGGAAGTTGACGTTTTTGGATTACAGTTCCTACAATCCCCATGCTGTCTAGAGGATTCCGGGAGTTGTAGTCAATGAAAGTATTTCTCTAGATTCTTTTCTTGCCAGGCGTTTTGAACAGATTGAAGGTAAA